TACCAATATCTGAAATGTACTGGAAATCAGAGACAAGAGTGTCTGTTGTTGCCAATACTATGAGTCGTACGCGATGGAAGGAAATGAAATCCAAAATACATTTTAGTAGGAATTTAGAGACTGATACAAACATTTCAAAAGGTATGGATAGTTTACAAAAAATAAGACCTATTCTCGACCTATTCGACAAATTGGTTAAAAATTTCAATCGCATTCTAATGAGTAAACACCTTTGTGTTGATGAACAAATAATACCATTTAAAGGCTAAACATAGGCTAAAACAGTATATGCCAAAGAAATCTAAGAGGCTACAAAGCTTTTCTATTGTGTGATTCATCTGGAATCATTTACAATTTTGAAATTTACACCGGCGAAGTGATACATGATCACCAATTACCGGAAGTAGTGCTACGGTTATTAAAAATTGCACCCAAACTGTTTTAATATAAAATTTACTTCGACAATTGGTTTTCAAGCGTTCTCTTATTAGTAATTGAATTAGAAAAGATGGGAATTCAAAGTGTTGCAGTTGTGAGTTTTCATCAGATAAAATAATGAAAATTATTAATAAAGGTAGAAGTTACGAGCTCTCTACATCTATTAAGGTCACATTAAGTGGTACGATAACAAAGCCGTTCATTTAATGAGCACATTTTGCGAAGCTGAGCCAATAGTCGTAGTGAACAGATGGGACAGAAAAATGAAAAGAAATATCGACGTGGATCGTCCAAATATAGTAAAAATATACAACCAACACATAAGTGGAATAGACTTGGTCGACTCATTGATTGCGTTGTGTCGAATAAAAATTCAGTAAAAGACATCGTACAATGTTTCATCTATTGTATCTAACAGTAGTGAATGCTTGGCTGTTTTATAAGAGAGATTGTTCATCGCATTCTACAAACCCCAAGCATCAATATACTTTATTGGACTTTAAAATTGATATGGCATCTTGTTTATGTCAAGAACAAAAAGAAATCAATAAGAGAAGAGGACGCCCTGTTTCTAGTTGCTTTTCTAAATAAGCAACTAGAAGAGGAAAAGGAGACTAAATATAATATTTCCAGTACAAAACGTGCGAAAAACTGAAATAGCACATTGGCCAATTCTTTCAAGAGGACAAGAGAGGATGCTGCAAGAAACGGGGTACAAAGGAGTTCCAAAAATAAAATGTTCGAAATACAACGTACACCTACGTTTAATGCCAAAGTCAAACTGTTTTTAGTTTTCATTTCACACTTAAGTTTTCATGCAAACAAGTGAAAACATTGTAAGCCGTTGTTACATTAAAGGTATAAAGTGTATTCAATATAATAAAATTGTTTAAATTAGCAAATTTATTATTAATCTATATATATATATAGATGATTTTGTGTTACATAAATTTTTTTATAGTTCAGAAAAATATTCGGCCCGTAGAGGATTAACTCATGACTGATCTGGAATGTGTTAACAATAGCGGCGAGATTGGCCAAAGTAGGAAATGAATTCGCGCAACGCGAATATTTTCGTAAACAATCAACAAATTAAATTCGACGAAGAGGGAAAGCAATTCAGCAATTCGGCGGTGGGTGGATTACGCGTCGCGCGACATTTCCCACTCTCTCTCTCTCTCTCTCTTTTCGATCAATGCTGTCGTATGTATTGCTGTCATAAGTATCGTACGGATAATCGAATTATTTACCTTCTAATTTCTAATATCACCGTGTTTTAGTTTTCGACAATTTCAATAATTATTTATGCAGGATGGTTCATAACAGGTGATATAGGATAATTTTATGAGAAAAAAATAGATCGAAAGAGAAGTAAAATTTTTTTTTTTAGCCTTATCTAACATATTTCTTATCTGGCACATTTATATTCGTAAAGCCAAAATTATTTATGAAGTTACAGGCGTCGTTCAACTAAAAGAGAAGATCCTGCATTTGACGCGAAAGTAGCAGAATACATGAACAGTGTTCGTAACAACTTAATAAGAGCACTGTGTATACCAAGAGCATGATGGGAAATATTTCCAACAATATTTTCAAAGTGATTAAATTCCAATGTATTTCCGTGACATTGGAAATGTTTACAAGCACGAGCGATATCAGTAATATTAATTTACTACGAGATAAGACTAGCAAGTCTTACTTAACCCTTTCCGTACGAGCGCCGGATATATCCGGCATCCATCAGATGACCTGTGTGTACTTATATAATTCTACTTGTATAATTAACAGAATTTAATATAAATGTCTTTCAATATTAAAAACTAACGACATTTGTTAGAAGAAACATTGTTTTATTAAGCATAGTTCTTATTTAAAGCTAAGGAAAATCTTTATACACGAGAGAACTGACCACGCGTTCTCGTACAGCGGACAGAGCGCTTGTACCGAAAAGGTTAAATACATAATACATAGTACTAAATAAAACGAAAAAAATTTTCTCTCTTTTTTCACTTATTTTTTCTCTTATTGATAGAATAGACCCTGTATTTGTACCATGTGATTGTACCACTAATTACGAATCATTTTGTATTGTATAGCAGACAAATTGCAATCGAAACAAATTGCCTTGATTAACTATTGTAGAACTGATTCATCCAACGCAAAATCTTGATAGTTTTATCTATTTACGTATTTATATATGCATGTGTATATATTATCATTATCACTCTGCTAATCACCATTATACTACAAATTATAACTTTTAACAGCAAGTAAGTTAGAATCTCAAAAAAATAATATCTTAATCATTTTCTTCACGAGATTATTTTCCTAATTACTTTTTTTGAAATTTTGATTAACCTAAGTGACAAGATAGTTTTATCTTAATACAGATGTTAATATACAAGATATACACATATATATATATATTTCTTTTTTCGTCTCATCTAATCTTCAGAGATACCGAATAGTTTATCTACATAATAACGCAATAATTCGAGGTGTTACGCGCGGAATAAATGCAATAATCGTCCATAGAAAACAGACGCGATTTGTCATTATTTTTTTTCTACTAATAATAAGTTGAGTTTCACAAATAGATTCGAGTGAAACTGTCGTTCCATTAAAATATCCACTAGTATCATATCGACAATTTCCCATTTTCAACGAATCGCAGCATGAGAAAACTGCTCCATGCCAATGAACTTGATTTTTATCAATCGCGTTACAACGTTAGTGGCTTGACGATGCGAAAGACAAAATTTGTGCAACAAAAAAATTTTTATTTGCCCATGTGAAGTCGTACATGTGATCAAACATCTACATACATAATATAGGTAACATTTTCGTTTCACGTTCAATTGCAGGAAACAGCGTTGGCGGTAACGATGGAGAAACAATAAGAACTTTTCCTCGGTTCGATGGCCAGCCAGAATCCGTATTTCCCGGTGGTGTTAAACACTCCTTCCGCGATCTGCAACGGGGTGATCGTTCTCGGCGCGAGCTTGATGCTGCACTTAGCGAGAACGTGACAGAGAAGCACCTTCATCTCCGTCAGCGCGAATCGGTTGCCGATGCACATCCTCGGCCCAAGGCCGAATGGCATGTACGCGCCCGAATTAGTGATCGTCTTGTTGTTTTCGTAGAATCTATCTGGGTCGAATTTCAAGGGATTCTCATAGTACTTCGGGTCGTGGTGGATCGCACTCATGGGAATCCAGATGTTCATCCCTTGACGGTGAACGGTTTGTCGCCGGATCGCGCCGGCGGCAGTTCGAAATCTTTGACGCACATTCTGTCTATGAACGAGGCGATCGGATAAAGTCGTAAGGTTTCACTGATCACTGCGTCCAGGTACTTCATGTCGTGCATCGCGTCGTAGGTCAGCTCTCCGTTATTTTTCTCCAACGTCTCGTCGATCTCCTGCTGCACTCTTTCCTGAACGTCCGGATTCTCGGTTAACAGGTGCGCCACTATGCAGGTTTGCGACGAGACGGTGTCGAAACCGCCGAAGAAGAAGCTGAACGCGTGATTCGCCATATCTTGCACGCTCATCTCTCTCCCCGGCTCTCTCTTCTTGTTATTGTCCATGAACAGTTGCAGAATGTCCGATCTACGATCGCCGGTTCGTTGTCTGGTCTCCACCGTCTCTGCCACTTGATT